ATGTATGTGTGTATATGTGTGGGGTATGGGGTGTGTGTGGGATGTATGTGTGTGTGTGTCCATCTGTGTATGTGTATGATATATGTGTGTATATGTGTGGGGTGTGGGGTGTGTGTGGGATGTGTGTGTGTCCATCTGTGTGTGTGTGTGTATGATATATGTGTGTATATGTGTGGGGTGTGGGGTGTGCATGCATGTGTGGTATATGTGAGCGTATGTGTGGTGTGTGTGTGTTTGTGTATGATGTATGTGTGTATATGTGTGGGGTGTGTGTGGGATGTGTGTGTGTGTCCATCTGTGTGTGTGTGTGTGTGTGTGTGTGTGTGTGTGTGTGTGTGTGTGTGTGTGTTGGGGGTGATATAGTAACCCAGTGAAGTGGAATCTCCCTGGAATCTACAAAAGTGAACCTAACAAAATCTTACCGTCTTCTGTAACCAGGAAAAGCTCCCAGTAGAGGGACTGAGACATCAACCCAGACCCAAATCCTTCAACCTACAGTCTGTCCTGCCCACAAGATGTGCTAGGGTAACAGAGGCACAGAACTTGTGGGAGTGGCCAGCCAATGACTGGCTCAACTTGAGGCCCACACCATGAGAAGAAGCCCACGCCAGACACTGCCCGAATGGCCAGCAACCAGACAGGACAGCCCAGAGACCCAGGATGGAACCAAGCATAACTGGCAAAAAAAAAAAAGTCAATGAAATTATTCCTAATGATATTCTTCTATACTCATAGATCAGTGCTTAGTCCATTTGCCATGGAGAGGTGTCATTCAGCAACTGATGGGAGCAGAGACTGAACCTAGAGCAAAACACTAGGCAAAGCCAGGGAAACCCCACAGAAGAGGGGGTGGAAGGATTGTAGAAGGCAAAAGAGTAGAAAATACCAAGAGAACATGGCCCACAGAATCAACTAAGCAGGGTTCATAGGGGATCACAGAGAATGAATCAGGAAACACAGACCCTGTCTGGGTCAGAGCCAGGTCCTCTGCACATACATTACAGATGTATTGCTTGGTGTTCTTGTGGGACTCCTAATAGGGGTGTGTGGGGCGGGGTGGGGGTGGGGGTCCTCTGAATCTTTATCCGGCTCTTCAAACCTTTTTCCTCCCAGAAGGTTGCCTCATCCAGCCTCGATACGAGGGTTTGTGCCTACTGTTATTGTTTCTTGTTATGCCCTGTTTGATGGATATCCCTGGGATGCTTGCTCTGTTTTTTGTTTGGTTGGTTTTGTTTGTTTTGGTTTTTCTAAGGGAAATGGAGGAAGAGTGGATCTGGAAGAAAGGGAAAGTGGGAGGATGAACTGGGAGGGGAAACTTCGGTGGGGAGGTAATATATGAGCATTAAATAAAAAAAGAACTCTGTCTCAAAAGGATTTTTTTTAAAAAAGCTTCTACCTTCCAGTGGTGCCATCCCGTGAACAAGGGACCAACACTGAGCTTTGGGGACGCCTATCTAAGCCACAGTAATTCCTTTATAGCTCTTGACAAACAACAAAGAAATAGTAAGGGCAGACAGAGCGGCACACACCTTTAATCCCAGCACTTACAAGGCAAAAGCAAGCAAATCCGTGTGAGTTGGAGACTAGCCTGATCTTCACAGCAAATCCTAGACCAGCTGAGCCTACATAGTGAGATCTATCTCAGATTAAATAGAGAACAGAAACAGAATAAGTAACAGGAACTGGATGTGTGGAGATGCAGCTCAGTTGATAGAGGGATTGCCTAGTATTTGGGAAGCCCTGGGTTCTATTCCTGGCATGACACAAACCCAGGGGAGGGGTGTACCTGTAACCCCAGCACTCTGAAGGCAGAGGATCAGAAGTTCAAAGCCATCCTCAGCTACAGAGTGATTCTGAGGCCAGTGTGGGATACACAAGCCTGATCCAAAATAAAGCATAATGAAGCTGGAGAGATGGCTCAGTGGGTAAGAGGGTTTGCTGCTCACAAAGGAGGACCTGAGGCTAAACCTCCATGTGAAATGCCAGGTGTGTTCACGCACTTGTTGGGTTCCAGTGTTCAGTGACAGACCCCATCTCAGGGAATAAGGACACCTGATATCCTACTCTGACTTCTGAATATGCACATGTACACACACACACACACACACACACACACACACACACACTACCACCACCACCAGCACCACCACCACCACCACCCACAAAAGAGGGATAGGGAAAAAAAGAAAAAAAAAAAGAATAAGTCTAAAGAAATGGGGAATTTAACATTATTTTAAAAGATTAGTTGGAACTGGAGATATGACTCGGTGGTTAAGAGCCCTTCCAGGAGACCTGGGTTCAATTCCCCAGCACCCACATGGTAGCTCATACATGCCTGTAACTCCAGTTTGAGAAATTCTGACACCTTCATGCAGGCAAAACAGCAATGAACATAAAATAAGAATAGATTATATATAAAAACAATTAGTTTAAGGCATGATTGGGTCAAACCTCTTCCCTGGGTGATGGGGAAGTCCTGTGTATATGTCAATAAAACACTGTTGGCCAATAGGGAAGCAAGATAGGTGGGACTAGGAGTTGAGGAGGATTCTGGGAAAGAGAGACACAGGCAGTCATGATGTAGCTGCCATAGGAATAAGAAGTCCAGACCCTTTTCTCCGGTAAGAGAAATACTTAGATTAGCAATTATGGGTTAAATATTTAAGTCAGAGCTAGCCAGTAAGAAACTAAGCAAACGGCCAACAGCTTCATAATTAATACAGCGTCTTGTGTGTTATCTGGGGACTACAACGCAGCAGAGCCCAGGCAGCTGGTGGGGAAAAACCAAAGCGGCTGGCAAGGAAAAACCTTCACTCTACACCTGGATACATGTTTTCTAGAATTATTTTGCAAATTCTCTATCTTTATTCCTTCTGTGGTTCTACTGACCCCAAATTTAGGTCAAATGTCTGCAGGGCCCTTCACTGAACTAACGTTCCAGTTGTTTCTAAGTGAAGAGGCAGATTTGTTAGTTCCCATGTACTGGAAAAGCTGAACACTTTTTAGAAAACGGAGTTACAAAACTTGCCTGAGCATAAAATTTGCACCTTATGTGCTAAAGATATTAAATATACATCCTAAGTATTAACTATTGGGAATAAAGGAGTGCCAGTTAGATTTGGTCATTTCATGCCTTTGAGTTTCAGTGGCTGAATTCAGATAAGTGGATTGAATCCTAAAAATTACAAAGCATGGCAAGATAAAAGTAATAATAACAAGACTGGATTATTTTAAGTAATTCCAAATATACACAGTCCAAGGAATCACTCCTTCATGTTGCGCAGGGTTACATGGGAGGACAGAGTGTAGAATGTAACCATGATAATGGATGATCTCGTGGCACTAACAGTCCACCTAAATAGAGGAGAGCATCAGTCTGCTCAAGTATTGTATGCACTCAACACTCACCCCATTGCCTGTATCCCTTCATTCAGAGCAGAGGGAATCAACCCCATCGCCTGTGTCCATTCATTCATAGCAGAGGAAAGCTGAGGGTATCTTCACTGAATGGGCAGTGGGCGAGTCAGCTTATGGGCAGGGTGGGGTGTAGTGCATGGGGGGGTGTAGTGCTTCCCACCAAAGTTTACTCTGTGTGTATGTGGGGGCATGGGTGCTTCCCACCATCTGAGCAGGAATGGAAACAGCATCAGAGGCAGACATTCTTCCAATTCAATTGCGTGAGTAATTCATAATCACAAGTCCAGGCTAGGCGTATGGTTCGGCATAAAGCATCTGCTTAGTATATGCAAGGACCTCAGCTCAATTCTCAGTGACAAAGTGGGGGGTGGGGAGGCTTGCTAAAACTCCAGTGCATCCATGTGTGGTGGTGTACACCTGTAATCCTATTGTTTAGGAGCTAGACATATAAAGATTATATATGAGTTCAAAGTCAGCCTTGTCTATCTAACAAGTTCTAGGACAGTCAAGGATAAATACAGAAATCAAGTCTTAGAAAAAAATAATAAAATGGCAAAAATAAAAATCCAGTTGATCCAGGTGTGGTGGTGCATACCTGTAATACCAGCACTCAGGAGGCAGAGACATGAGGGCCAAACAACCACCCTGGAATATTTACCAAGACCTTGCCTCAAGAAAACAAAAAAAGGAGGACAGCCAGACATGGTGGTGCACACTTTAATCCCAGCACTCGAGAGGCAGAGGTAGGTGGATCTCTGTCAGTTTGAGGCCAGCCTGGTCTACAGCCAGTTCCAGGACAGCCAGAGCTACACACAGAGAAACCATATCTCGAAGCAAAAAAAAAAAAAAAAAAGAAGAAGAAGAAGGATGAGGAAGAGGAAAAAGAAGATGATGATGATGAAGATGAGGAGGAGGAAGTCTAATGGAGCTGGGCGTGGCCCTCACACCTATAATACCAGCACTCAGGAAGCTGAAGAAGAAGGGCTCAAATGAATCCCAGGACAGCCTTGGCTGCAGAGTGAAACTCAATATTAATAAAAAGTAAAAATAAAACACAGAACAAAAGTTCAGTGGGGCCCCAGTTTCCATTCCTTTTTGTCTTGCAGCTGCATTGAAGCTCTTGCTCCTGGAACCCTCCAGAAGAGCTTCTATTCCCCACATCAAGCTATGATGAATCCATGTGTTTCCTCTCATGCTCAAACACTCTAAGATTATGAAGATGAATAAGAGACTTGAGCCCAGATGAATCCTTTGAAGGGGGAGTTGAATGGAAGAAAAAGAGAAAAGGTAGCTTGGACACCATGTCACAAAGTATAGTATAAGAGCGTGTGATGATTGAAGAGGAACAGAAACACTGCCTAAAGCACCTTTGAAACATGTCATTCAAGAGCTATTCCTGTCTCGATTCTCTTCTTGTCACTTAGGGAGAGTTCCTTGGACTGGGATTCGATTTCCTTAACATCCCTCTAATACATACTAATCCTCTTTGTTTGCCGAGAGAACAGGTGTGGAGACTTTGATTAGACAATGATACTTAACTACACATAAAAAGCTATTTCCTTCTCCAAGTATTTATTCTTAGTATTTGAGTGGCAACTGGTAGGAAACTTCCATTTGTTTGCAAGAGGGAGAGTCCTTTACTTTCTACTTTTTATTTTGAAATATTTTCACATATATATGTATAGATTTCAATAAACATCTGTATCCTCACCAGAGACCCAGCCATTGTCCAAACTCTTTACACTTATAATTTTCTTCTTGTTCAACAACTTTAAAAGTAAATCACAGAGAGGGCGATGACGTCGACCTGAAAATACTTCATTGTGTAATTCCAGAGAACAAGAACGATCTTCTACACACCCACTATCACACATAAAACAATGAACAATCTTCGCTGGTTGTCTAGTTCATGGTGCATCAGGGGAGCATTCTGGTTAGGTAAATTCACTTTAAAAATGCAAGATGACTGAAAGAAAAAAACAACAGCAGATGATAGTAAGCAATAATACTTACTAGGAAGACATGGAAAAGAGTGGTGAGGTCGGGGCTATACAACTGGAGGTGAAAACTCAGGAATAACGGGATATGCTGTCTAGACTGTGGAGGCAAAGAAAATAGAGAAAGGTAGATATTAATATTGGGGGAGAAAATTAAGTAGACCAAAAAAATAGAAGTTACTCCTTGGTCAAAAACTAAGTATGGGTGGTGGGGGATACAGCTTAGTTGGTAGGGTGCTTGCTTAGCATTCACAAGCCATGGGTTTCATCACCATAACCCAGGTAACCCAGCGCTTGAGAAGCCACAGGCAGGAAGACTAAAAGATTGAAGCCAGTCAGACCTACATAGTTAGTTAGAAGCCAGTTCAGGCTTGTTACCAAGATCCTGTCTCAGAGAAAAACTAAGTATGCTAAGAGATGACTCGGTAAAGAATAATTAGAGACTGTCCCCAGAAGCCACGAAATTGACAGCCTTCATTCTCTCTGCTAGCATAGCTAATGTTGCCAGCTCTGACCAAGACTCAGGCCACCTGGTTTAAACCCTGCTCATGCCACTGTTGGTGGAGGAAACTTGATCTGCTTAAGATCCCTTCGCCTCACTTAACTCCTCTGTCAAACACAGAGAACCATCTATATATTTCAATAAGGACTAAATGGATTAAAATACTCTAGGACTTGTGAGAAGTCTCAGTAGGTAAAGGTGCTTGCCCTGCAATCTTGGCAAGTAAAGTTAGATCCCCAAATTCTAGTAAAAGAGGAAGGAGAGAGCCAACTTCACAACGTTGCCCTCTGACCACACACACACACACACACACACACACACACACACACACACACACACACATTAAATTAATTGAAAACATTCTAACCCCTCCATAGCACGTATGTAAGAAACATTTTAAAAATTTCAGTGAAGCTGAGTTTGATAGTACACACCTATAATTCCAGTAGTTTGTAGTTGGAGGTAGGAGTTCAAGTCAGCTTGCAAGAACATTCAGTGCTGCCAGAAGTGAGCTTGTGCCAGGCACAGTCCTATAATCGAGGCCCTTGGGAAACTAAGACAGGAGGATTGCTTGAGTCCACAATTCAGAGCCAGCCTGGGCAACACACTGGATGCCACCTTAGGAGAGAACACAGTCTTTTTTTTTTTAATAGTATATTTAACTTTGTTTTTTTATGTGCATTGGCACAAAGATGACAGACCCCCAGGAACTAGAGTTATAGACAATTGTGAACTGCCATAAGGATGCCGGGAATTGAAAGCCCGGTCCTCTGGAAGAGCAGCTAATGCTCTTAACCACTGAGCCAACTCTCCAGCCTGAGAATACAGTATTATTGCCACCACAATTAGCCCAAAGGTGTCCACCGACCATTTCTCTCACGCCCCTGCAGACTCAGGTGAAAAGAAGGGGCCAGAGCGGAGGAGGAAGTTATGTGATAGTGAGCAGAAGGGAGAGGTGGGGCAGGAAAACAGAGACTAAACTGTAGATCATAAAGGGTCTCCTTGCCCCAAACACGGGAATTTGACTCAGCTCCCACATGAGCATGGAAGCAGGCCCAGGCCTAGAGATAATTGCCATATAACCAATTGTGTTTTATGGGGTATTGATTTATCACTTGGTTTTACTATAGATGTCAAGTGCTAAGAACAAGCCCTGGCATGTCAAAAGCACTCAATAAATGTCTGCTGTCATTTTTATTGTCACCTCCTACTTTTCCATTCCCACTAACTACCTCACCTACATCAGGTCTGTGGTACCACTTGACTTGCCGACATTAGGTGATTCAAAGAACCTACCAGAAAACCCATACATACATGCTAACTAAGTTCCTGAGCACCTACTACACACACCTCAGCCACTTTCTAGAGGTTCTCATTTGAAAACTGGACTGTTAGAATCCATGGTTCTCAGCCCTGCTAACCAAAGCCTAACTGGACTACTGTGAGCATCTAATATAAAGACAAGTGCTCTGGGCCAGTCAGTGGAATTACCTGCACAGCATGGGGACTCTGCCTGTCTGTGACTACAAACTAGAGATGTGGGATATAAGATACAGAAAAGACCAGCTGGCATAGAGAAAATAGGCAAAACAACACAGAGACAGGCAACAAACAGAAGTGGGAGAAGCTATGAGTAAATAGAGACAGCTCCATTATGCTCATTTCAAGTCCCTAGTGAACCCCAGAACAGCCTCGAACACCAAAGAGGAACTTAACACTTCGACCATACTTGTCTCTGCTGCTTTCATAACACAACCCTGAACACTGCCCAAAGACCCCGTGGCCCTCTAGGCTCTGTGTCTTCCCTTTGAGACTCTTTCTTCCTCCAGTAGAGGCTGAATACTTCCTACAGCTGGGAGCCCCAGGGTCATGAGTTTTAAAGTTAGGAGAGAATTAATTTGTCATGAGCATCCAACATGCCCTTTGGAAAACTATCAAAGCCAAAAATGTGTATTTATCATTGGCATGAGAAAACTCCCCATAGGCTCACATAATCGCATACTTGGTCCCCAGTTGCTGGCATTGTTTGAGGACATATGAAACCTTTAGGAGGTGGAGTCTTGCTGGAGTAGGTACGTCACTTGGGGGGCGGGCCCTAAGGTTCTATAGGCTCACCCAAGCTTCTGTTCTTGCTCCCTGCCTCTTGTGTTTGGATGAAAGCGTGAGCAGCCAGCGTCCTGCTCCTTCAGCCATGCTTTCCCACACAGTTGCCAGTTTTCACCACTGTGAAGCACTCTGTCCTTTTGAAACTGCACACCAAAGCAAACATTTTATCCTTTAAGTCACGCCGTGTCAGGGTAGCTTATCACACTGTCAGAAAAGTAACCACGGCAGCCATAAGCCCAAGCAGTTCCACTTTCTAGTAACATCATGGGAAAAATGACCAGAGCAGCACACACACACAAAACAAAAAACAAAAAAACAAAAGAAACAGCAAGACAGAATATTCATTGCACCATGTTTCAATAGCAAGAGTCAGAAAATTAATTATGTGTATCATGTGAGCCTCTGGTTAAATAATGATTGGAAAAATACTGCTATTAGATGAGACACTATTGATCAATATTGGAAAAGGGCTCTAAGTTTAATATAGGAATAGATTTGTGTCACCATGAGCAGTAAAAATATCATGCCATATAATGGAGTGTTATATTCTGACTTCGTTTACTGGAAAATATATCTCAAGCAAGCTTTCATAAACCAGAGAGAACAACCTGTGACAGGGGATATAGTTGAGTTGGTAACTTACTTGCTGCATAAGCATGAGGGCCTGATTAATACCCCAGAACCCACAGAAAGAACCAGAGATTGGCCAGGCAGTGGTGGCACACACCTTTGATCCCAGTAAACAGGAGGCAAAGGCTGGTGGAGTTCTGTGAGTTTGAGGCCAGTCTAGTCTACAGAGCAAGTTCCAGGACAGCCCAAACTATTTTATAGAGAAACCTTGTCTTGGAAAAACAAAACAAAACACCAGAACCAGAGGCTGCTGTAACTCCAGGGTTAGGGCTGAGCAGAGGGGCAGACCCTGAACCTTGCTGGCCATCTAGTCTAGCTAACCAATGTGCTCCAGATTGGGTAAGAGGCCATGTCCCAAAAAGCTGGGAGGCTGACTCAATGGACAAAGGCACTTGCCAGACTTAACCGCCTCCAAATCTTCAGATGTAGAAAATGTGCTGGACCAGAACTCAAAATCCTGTGTAATAATTTCGGCCCTGCCACTTGAAAAAACTGTGACCATAAATAATTTATTGGACTCTTTTGGCCTCTATTTGGTCCTGAAGAGAACATAGCATTACAATGTAGCTTTGGTGTAACATGATATAACATTCAACAGTTGGGATGCATTAGAAAGACACTTATTACTTGACCCATGTTCTCTGTGTCTTATAAACTTCTATCTGGAAGACACTGGAGGTGTTGGTTCATCTTTCAGTGAGCTGGTCAAAAGCTTTGGCCCCTACCACACCTGGTAAATATCATCCACTGTGAGCAAAACAGAGCACCATCCAGTCATCTGCCATCCTCTCTCTGTAGATGGATGGTTCTGTTAGACTTCTGTTAAATAAGGAACTTAAGGATTCCTATGACAAGCCAGGGAAGTCAGAGCACTCTGGGTATCTTAAGTTGAAAACCCTGCACTTGATGACTGATAGGCTTGACGATCGATTATTCGATAACAAATGTCTGAAAGTCCATACAGATATATGAGTTCTGGGTTCAAAAAATACATCACCTTGGCCTGGTCATATCTGCAGCTCAGTGAACTCTTGGTTTCATCAGATCATCAATTAGTAACGTTTATGGAAGCTAGTGATGCTGTATCCCATAATTCGGGCACCAAGAAGGTTGAGACAGCCTGGATTACATAGTGAAAGCCTGTCTCAAAAAAGCCAAAAGGTGGAGGAGGGGAGAGGGAGGGACAAAGATGGGAGGGAGGGAGGGAGGGAGGGAGGGAGGGAGGGAGGGAGGGAGGGAGGGAAAGAGTTACTACTTATTGCCACACCACACCAGCAGGTTCAGTGTCTTCCTAGGTCACAGCTGTCCATCTTCATGTTGTGACTTCACATGATAGAGGGGCCAGGGAACCTCCAAAGTTTCTTTTATAAGGTCACTCTCTTAATTAAACACTAGTAGAACAGATTACCTTAGACAGAGTATTTTATAAACAACAGAAATGTATTGTTCAGAATTCTAGAGACCAGAAAGACCAAGACCAAAACACAAAGAGATCTGGGACCTAATGAAGACTCTCTGTCTCACTGGTGGCAACTCTCTGCTGTTCTCTTATATGGTAGAAGGAACAAATAAGTTCCCTTGGGCTGCTTTTCTTTTTTTTCCTTTTTTTTTTTTTTTAGTGTTACAAGACAGGGTTTCCCGGTGGCTTTGGAGGCTGTCCTGGAGCTTACTACGGAGACCAGGCTGGCCTCGAACTCATAGAGATCCGCCTGCCTCTGCCTCCCGGGAGCTGGGATTAAAGGCGTGCGCCACCACCGCCCGGCTGGGCTGCTTTTCTAAGACTGTCAATTACAGGCAGGTGTAGTAGGTTGTGTCTACACTGCCAACTTGAAGGTAGCTGAGGCAGGAGGATCATCACAAGTTCAAGGACAACCTGAGCTACATAGTGAGTTCAAGACTAGCTTAGATAATATAATTGGTTCAAGGTCAACCCGACTCCTAGTGAGGCCAAGACCAGCCTAAACTACAGGAAGAAGCATATCTCAAGAAAAGAAAACGTTGGTTCCATTCAATGACTAAAGACCCTGGCTCTTACTACTATAGCATTGGACATTAATTACCATTCATCATATCAGTATGGGGGATTACAAGCATTCAGACCAGAAAGATATTATCTCTTCCAGATCCCTTGCAACCTCATCAGCCATCAAAGGTGCCACCAGCTAATTTCATCACATTTGGAGTGAACATTTGAACACGTAAATTTGAGGGTGATACATTAAGTCTGTGGTAAACTGCCCTTGTTATTACATCAAACTCATCTATAGATGAGGAAATTGAGGCTTAGTGGGTAAAGCTGGGTCCCAGACTACCACACTGCAATCCTGAGCTCCTAACCCTCATGCTATGCTGCGTCTCAAGATGTCCATTGACCATCAAGTGCTACAGTCTAAAGAAAATCTACAATCTTAATGTAGGTGTCATACAAAGAACCACAATATTGACATCCACTCACACAGTTCAAGAGGCTAGTAGGTCACATAATCCCACAGTTCTTCATTGGAGGATGGTGTTCACTCCTATATACCAAAATTCCATCCATATAATATGTATCATTTGAATTACATAAAATGACTTTTTAAGCTAGAAGAGGCAGAGGATATGTCTCAGTGGTGGAGTATGTGACTATTTAATGCATTGAAGGTCTTACTTTCAATTCCCAGCACCACAAAAAAAAAATGAGAGTTAAAATGAAGCAAGGGACTGGGGATGTGACTTAGTTGGTAAGACTCCTTGAGTAGCATGCATACAGCATACAGGGTTCAATCCCCAGTGCCATGTAAAAGTAGATGTGATGTATACTTCTATTATCTTAGT